AGAGATATGCCTGTATTTATCACTGTTTAAAGCCTTTTTACTCTGTGGATACTGTCCTTTGATGCACAAGGTTTAGTTTTTAAGAAGTCCAATGTCTTTTTCTTTAATTCTGTTACCTGTGCCTTTGGTGTCATATTGAGAACTCATTATCAAACCTCATGGACTGAAACTTTTGCCCTATGTTTTTGTCTAAGAATTTTATAGTTTTAGGCCTCACATTTAGGTCATGGATCCATTTCGAGTTAATCTTTGTAATAGTGTTAGGTAAGGGTCCAACTTTATTATGACAAAACTATTTTATTTTTTTAAAATATTGGCATGTGGTACTAATTTTATATTTTTACTTCCCTGTTCTATCAGATCAGACAGGTTGCCTCTAAATGAAGGAATTAGCCGGCACAATTCGTTGTCGTATAATTCTCGGTATAGTTACCAGAAATTGAAAAAGTGAGTGGCTCTAATGACTGGGCAATAAATCTTCCAAGTCAAGTATTTTCCAATTCTTTGTTTTCAGCAAACTTGAAAGTGGTCCTAATTGAATTGTCAGCGAATAGCTTGTTTGAAATAATTCTAATGATAGGCTGCTCTGTGGTTACTTTTGGCCCAAGACTTGGTGAGACTCACAGGGCTGAGCATCTTTGTGCCTATCTCATGCTTCATGTGAAAAGGCTTCTCAGTGCCAACACCACAACAAGAAACAGCAGAAGAATCGATGCTACCCTTGCCTCATTTAGCAATAAATACTTTCTGTTAAACAAAAGATTTTTTAAATGTTTACTTTGGAAGGCTAATAATTATTTGTCAGGTTTTATAACTATGTTCCAACTTGATTTAATAATTGTAATGACTCAATCTAGAAACATTTTTACTGTAAAAATCTATTTTTGTTTATTTTATATTACTTGATTTAGAAATGTGATAAAATACACATACATAAAATTTACCCTCTCGGCCATTTTTTAGTGTACACTTTAGTAGTGTTAATTACATTCACCTTGTGCATCCGCTCCAGAACATTTTCCGTTTTTCAAAACTAAAACTCTATACCCATTAGAAACACCTTTGAAATATTTTTCACAAAGAGAGCCTTATGGCCTTGGGGAAAATGTTTAATTTCAATTTATCTAACTTTGTTGTAGAGAAGAGTGATAGGGTAATCAAGCATAAATTATTAGGATAAAATATCAGGGTTAAATTCTCTTGGAGCAGTGTAATGGAAACGAGATCAAAGAGAAAAAGGAACCTTGTTGAATTTCTTTTTTTTTTTTTTTTTTTGGCTGCGTTGGGTCTTCGTTGCAGTGCATGGGCTTTCTTTTCTCTAGTTGTGGCGAGCAGGGGTTTCTCATCCTTGTTGTATTTCTGATTGTTATAAAAGAGCTTGTTCATTCTATTTTAAAATGCATGATAGTAGTATCAAATCACTATGGCATTTAGATTTCACTGACTATATTTAAAAGATCATATGATAAAATATTTTTAAATGAAATATTTACAGCATGCTGGAAATTATATCCTTTGCAACTATTTATTTTTATTATGAAGAATTTAGATACCAACTTAAAAGTATATTATCCTCTTCATAGTGGTAGGTTTTCCAGAACTCTTGAGGGGATATGTGACATTTGGAGACCACTGCATTAGGGTAGAGGGATCCCTGTGAAATGCCTGAACCAACATTGAAGTTCACTGGAGACTCACCACCCCTTTAAGGTGTTCAGCATCTCACTGGACTGTGTTCCCATGGCAGGACTCACGAAAGGGTGACCGCAGAGCTTCACTCCTTCACCTATTATCCGATAATCAGACCCGTAAAATGGCTCACTCCATTACCAATTTCAAATGAAGTTCAATACTTACTAAGGAAAGTTTTAAGAAAAACTTGCCTTAACTGTGCCTGACCTAGGTTAGGAAGTAAGTTACAGAACTGTATCAAAAGTCCAGCTTTAAAAAAAAAAAAAGTCCAGCTTTCCCTCCCAGCACCCTGGTTACTTAGAGGACCCAGATCCACAGAGTAAAAGACAGAATGGGAGAAAATGTTTACAAAGCATGTATCTGATAAAGGATTATATGCATATATGTGTGTGTGTGTGTGTGTGTGTGTGTATATATATATATATATATATGTAGAGAGAGAGAGAGAGGGAGAGAGGGAGAGAGAGGGAGAGAGGAAGCACAGTGGTGGTTGCCAGGGTCTGGGGGGCAGGGAAATGTGTAGTTATTGCTTAACGGGTATAGGCTTTCAGTTTTACAAGATAAAGAGTTAAGGCAGATGGATGGTGGTGATGGTTGTACAATAGTGTGAATGTACTTAATGCCACTGAACTGTACACTTAAGAATGGTTAAGATGGTGAATTTTATGTATATTTTGCCACAATAAAAAAAAGCTTGAAAAAATGCTTTTATCATATCACATTTCTCACCTCTCTCTGCCCAACTGTGGAACTCATTCAGCATATGAAGCATATTCGACATATAGTTGGATTGACAAAGCCAGCCTCTTTATCCAACAGAAATCAGACCTTCTGTCAGGAAAAAGCCAGAACTCATTTGCACTTCAAATTAACATGTACTTTGAGGAAAATTATTAAAAGAACTGAGAAACAAATTAAATTTCATCTGAAATTAATTACCAAGTGCAGTTAGGACTAAAACATTGCAGAACTGACTTATTTAACGCATGCTGTTCCTCATTACTTAAATTGCAGGATGCGGCATAAGTCTAGCGTGAGGGAGAGGAATGAGAGTTCCCTGGTCTCCCTTGGTTGAAAGGGAGTGTGTTGTGTCCAGTTCGGGGGAATATTCAACTGGGAATTATATATAAAAGTCAAAAATACCTGGTTTCATTAGACATGATGAAGCTCTTGTCGTGTATTTAGTGAAAATAAGGCACAGACTGATGAAAACTAATTGCTCTGGAAGTCAGCATGTGTGAGATATATGAGACTGGAAAGATGGTGGTTGACTGCTATTGAAATAAACATTCGTGATGTGACTGGATAACTGATTATGAAAAATCCCATTAACCTTGTGTTGTCTGCTTGTCTCTTGTGTCTGGGAGTTTTGCCGGCCGGGGTGTCTCCCCTGTGTGTAAGGCGTGGGGTGTGCCCTGCTCACTGTGAGCCTGCTCTTGTGAGCGCTTGGAGAAAATACTGAGAAGGAGAATGGTGCTTGTCTTTTAAGTAAAGGGGAGAGGGACCCCGTCTCAAGGGGAGGCATCTCTGGCAGCAGCAGGGGATGAAGTAGAGTGCTCCCCTGGGCCCTGGCTCCCGCAGTCAGGCTTAGGCTTTAGTTTCGATTAGCCGTTGAAGGTGGTTTTCCCACACTTGAAGTGTTTCGTCCCTGGGGCAGTGCAGGATGGGTGTTGTCCTTTGCTTTTTAAAAGGGAAATGGGATCTGAGGCTCTGTTTCTAAATCTGTGGAGGTTGAGGTCTGAAGACTAACCTTTAAAGCTGTGGTTTTGTCTGTGTGCTTTGCAGACCAGCACCATCAGCTTCTCCTGGGAACTTGTTAAAATGCACAATCCTGGTCTGCATTCCAAATCAGGCACTTCCAGAACTCGGGGGTCCTCCAGGTGATTCTGATGCCTCCCCAGAGTCTAGAACCACTCACACCTGTATGGTTTGAGTCGCATTGCCCTTGAGTAGTTGATATAATGTCTAGATGATGTAACTATTAGTTTGTGTAAACATTCGACATTTCATTTTTGTGTACTTTGGAACCAATATAATTAGTTGTCAGTTATGTACAAGGGCACAGAATCTGTCCTGCCTGATGAATAAAGGTCCCTTTGGCAAGTGCGGAACAACAGTATGTCCTAAGCCAGCAGCCTCAGGCCAAACAAACAGGCGGTGTCCTGAGATCGCGGGACAGTCGGCCCATGGGAGCTGACCCAGGGTCCTCTCCTGAGATCGCGGAACAGTCGGCCCATGGGAGCTGACCCAGGGTCCTCTCCTGAGATCGCGGGACAGTCTGGCCATGGGAGCTGACCCAGGGTCCTCTCCTTAGATCGCTGGACAGTCCGGCCATGGGAGCTGACCCAGGGTCCTCTCCTTAGATTGCTGGACAGTCCGGCCATGGGAGCTGACCCAGGGTCCTCTCCTTAGATCGCTGGACAGTCCGGCCCTGGGGGCTGACCCAGGGGCCTCTCCTGAGATCGCGGGACAGTCCGGCCATGGGAGCTGACCCAGGGTCCTCTCCTTAGATCGCTGGACAGTCCGGCCATGGGAGCTGACCCAGGGTCCTCTCCTGAGATCGCGGGACAGTCGGCTCATGGGAGCTGACCCAGGGTCCTCCCCTGGCAGGTGGCCTGGAGGTCTGCAGGCAACTCTGTGGGCATCTGAGCCAGAGCCAGGGGCTGACAGGAAGGGGGTGGGCCCTGCATGTTTCCTGCAACAGGAGAGTGAATAGCATCTTTTTTGAAAAGACCTGCTCTGTCCTTTTGGCCAGTCCAGAACCCATGCTCCTGCCCCAGAGATTTGTGAAGCATCTGATCCTTTTGAAGTGCAACCGTTTGGTCTTTTTAGGAATGCAAATCATATCAAGTCGTTTCCTTCCTTAATATTACAATTGTTCCAGGACTTCCCATTGCCCTTAGGAAAGAGT